CCAAGACTTTTATCATGAAGGGGTGTTGAATTTTGCCAAAGGCTTTTTCAGGATCTAAAGAGATGATCACGTGGTATTTTTTCTTTCAGTTTGTTTATATGGTGGATTACATTGCCATATTTTTGCAGTTGAACCATCCCTGCAACTCTGGGATGAAGCCTACTTGGTCATGGTGGATGATCTTTTTGATGTGTTCTTGAATTCAGTTTGCCAGTATCATGTCCCTCAACAGAGAAATAAATAAAGAAAATGTGGTACATTTACACAGTGGAGTATTACTTCACGGTTAAAAACAAAGGCACCAGGAAATTTGAAGGCAAATGGATGGAATTAGGAAAAAAAAATCATCCTGAATGAGGTAACGACACTGAGAAAGACAAACATGGTATGTACTGACTAATAAGTGGATATTAGCTGTAAAATAAAGGATCGCTAAGTTATTATCCACAGATCCAGAGAGACTAAGTAACAAGGAGGGTTCATCTGGGACACCTGGATCTCCCTGGGAAGGGGAAATAGAAGAGATTTTATGAGTGAACTGAGGGTGGGTGAGGATGGGAGCATGAACAATCAGGCTGGGGGGACTGAAAGAGACTACTGGAAAGGGGGGTTATTTTGAGATCAGGTAAAAACCTGATGCAAGGGAATCTCCCAAGAATCTACAAGAAAGATCCCAGCTTAGATTCCTAGCAATAGCAGATACACAGCCTGAACTGGCCATCTCCGGTGACCACATTGGTGCCTAACCCAATTGTCATCAGAAAGGTTTCATCCAGCAACTGATGGAAACAGATGCAGATCCACAGCCACACATTAGGCAGAGCTCAGAGAGTCGTGCAGAAGAGGGGGAGAAAGACGTGTAGGAGCCAGAGGGGTCAAGAAGACAACTCACAGAATCAACTGACGTGAGCTCATAGGGGCTCACAGAGTCTGAACTGACAACCAGGGAGCCTGCGTGGAACTGATCTACGCACTCTGCATATATGTTACAGCTGTGTAACCTGGTCCTCTTGAGGGACTCCCAACAGTGGGAACAGGGGCTGTCCCCAAATCTTCTACAGTAGGCTTTTGGGAGCCCACTCCTCATATTGGGTTGCCTTGCCCTACCCTTAATACAAGGGGAGGTGCTGACTTAGTCGAACTGCAACTTGATATGCCATATTTTGTTGGTGTTTATGGGAGACCTGCTCTATTCTAAACAAATGAAGGAGTGGATGGGGGGCTGGGAATGGAGGAAGGATGGTGGGGGAGACCTGAAGGAGAAAAGAGAGGAGAAACTGCAGCTGGGATGTAAAATAAATAAATGTATTCCCCCTCCACCGAGAAGGAGGAGGAGGAGGAGGAGGAAGGAGGAGAAGGAGGAGGAGGAAGGAGGAGAAGGAGGAGGAGGAGGAGGAGGAAGAAGAGGAGAAGAAGAAGAAGAAGAAGAAGAAGAAGAAGAAGAAGAAGAAGAAGAAGAAGAAGAAGAAGAAGAAGAAGAAGAAGAA